GCTGGCTTCTTCGTAGAGGAACAAAGGAGTTTTAGGTTAACTTAGTTCGATTTTCTCCCTAGGCTTCTTTGTTCATTTCCGAAGATGCTAGCCAGACAAGCGCTTTATGTATTCCCACCTTAAGTCCTTCTTAAGACAGAAGACCCTTAGACTTCTGAAAACATAAAATCTTTTTAAAACTTCGATAGATGGAAATTATTATCAAGGCCTTTTTTGTGTGAAAGAATCTTTAAGCATCTTCTGTTATTCGAAAACTTTTTTAGAGTCTCTTCTAAAAATGAAAACACAAAAAACAATTATTTTCGATACCAAAATATGAAACTAAAATTTTATTAGAAAAAAAAAATAGCAAACAAAACTATGCCAAGGCATTTTTGGAATCATAGAGTGACAACAACACCAAAAAAAAATGGCTGATGTCTGCAAAAATGGAACTCATGCATGAAATTGGCCTTCAAAATCCAGAATGGGAGACAATTAAAAAAAAAAAATAAAATAAAAATGAAAAACAAAAAGCAAAAACAACTTTTGTAACTTTGCACCATTGAATGGATGCAGAGAGTAGAACGAACTGTCCCAGCTGGTGGTATGCCGTTACAATTGTGGCAAAAAGGGGGCTGGTTGGAAGGGAGGCAGGCTAAAATGAATTGAAAATAAAAACTTGCCCATAAATGGTTAGCCCTCAACGAGAAATGATGAAAAAAAAAAAAAAATAAAAAGAGGTTTTTTATTGCTTGGCGCTATCGTTGTTGTTGTTAGTTATTGTTGCTGTGCATATATCATTACTTTTGGGGCCGCCTGTGAGTAAACGTTATTGTTGTGCATAAGTGGCGTTCGCTGGTGTTTGCCCACACTGGCTCCCCACTTCTTCGCACCATTCACCACCATTCCATTGGCCATTTTGGGAAGCTTTAATTTTATTTTTAAATACTCTGTGTGGAGGGGGCCCGGTGCTCACTGCACATACTTAGCTTTATGGCGGTTACTTGGGCAGACAGTCGGCCGGCCACACTACAAAATTCCATTGCGCCCATGCATAATACAATAGCAACAACAACAACAACCGCTAGTGAATGAAAATCAGTACAACAATCTAATTATGATAAAAACAAAAAAATACAAAATGTTTAAAAAAAACATAAACAACACCAGAAGCACCAGCACCAGCACCGCCATGGATGGCATGGCATGGCATTGCTGGGGAGTGAGTGAATAACAAACCACCAAACCGAACGAACAAACATCCACAAACTGGGACACATGTTCCATTTGACAAAAGAATGAGAAACAACAAAACAAACAAACCAACGAACTCATATACAGTTATACTTTGCCCGCTCACATGCTGACACTTCGTGCAGACCAAACGGCAGAGCAAAGAAAACTTTCCAACCAATGTCCAATCTTTAACATCATCATCAGCAGCACCAGCAACACCATTACTCAAAAAAAAAAGATTGTTTTTCCATAAAATATTGTTGGAGACAATGGCCAGGGGCGTAGAACTGTTTTCTTTTTTTTTGGGGATAATACATCATTATGGGGGGTTTCTTTTAAAATTATCAAACGATTTGTTAATTTTAGGAAACGTTACAAAGTACTAATTTTATTGAGCAGCTAGATATCGATTTTAGAATATATCCAAGATCGCCGAAGGTGCAAACCTATATATCATATTTCAAGAAGTTTCCGATTATATTTTTAGCTCATTTTGGTTATTTTTCTGATTTAATACTAAAAATGAGAAAAAAAAAAACAATTAAACAAAAAAACATTAAGTTAGGCCGGGCCCAACTTATAATACCCTCCCTCCAGGGTGAGATGAAAAAACTGCAATCAACTCCAGATTGCTGTCATTTCTAAGCCACTCGTCCGAAAGCTATTAAAATTATTCCAGTGACAGCTCATTATATTGTGTCCAAGCGAACACAAGCAGAAAAAAGTTCTTCGTGATAGAATTCGAGCGTGATAGTGTGATTTCTTTATATTTGGCTGGAAAACCACAAGTGGCTATCGTTAGAGCACTCCAGCATTTGAATGTGAATAAATCTTGTGTGTCTCATTACCGTCGTTACTGGTAGCGTAGCTCGACGTCAAGGAAGTGGGCGGAAGAAAACATCAACATCAGCAAAAATGGTTCGAAAAGTAAAGAAGCGACTTGATCGAAAACCGCATCGCAATGGCCGAAGAATGGCTCGTGAGCTAAACATATCGCCATATTCCATTCGGCAAATATTGAAAAATGAGCTCGGACGCGGTAAAGCCATTGAAATTCCAAAAAGTGAAAGAACTTATACCGCAACAGAAAGAAAATAGACTCAAAAGAGCTAAAGAATTGCTTCGCTTGGCCGAAAGTGGTGAACTGCCGAATTTAATTTTCTCCGATGAGAAAACGTTCGTTGTCTAGCAGTTTGTAAACAAACAAAATGATCGTGTTTACCTGCCAAAGAGGTCAGCTGAAAATGTGCACCTTCGGTTGGGCACCAAAACTTAAACGCCGGCCATGGTGATGGTGTGGGCCGCCAACAGCCGGTGGTAGCTCTCCGCTCATATTAATCGACCCTGGCATCAGAATAAGTGCCGAATATTATCGCGAAAATATTCTGGAGGGTGTGTTAAAGTCTTGGGCAAGCAAACATTTTGGCCGCAGAACTTGGACGTTCCAACAGCACTCAGACCCATCGCACTCAGCACGCGCCACCCAAGAATGGTTACAAAATGAGGTTCCTCTCTTCATTTCCTGCGCACAATGGCCAGCAAAATCTCCGGTTACCAATCCGTAGGACTTTTATGTCTGGAGTATTTTGGAAAGCAAGGTTGGCAATAAAAAACCAAAGTGTTGATCACCTCAGACTAGCGTTTCGCCGGGAATGGGTCAAAATACCGCAGAGCAACATACAGATATTTAATGTTCTGCCATCGGAGCGAGAACCCATTCTGACCTATAAATATCAATTTTTAGACAAATCCGTCGAAAAATGTGGCAAAAATCATCAAAATACCGAATATCGGAAGGTACCGTTTTATGGGGCTATACGAAAACGTGGACCTAGACATACAATGTTTCGCCACCGGAGCTAGAACCCGTTACGAACTACAAATACCAATTTCCAGACAATCCGTGAAAAATGTGGCGAAAATCATCGCAATTCCGAAAATCGAGAGATACCTTTATGTGGGGGCTATACGAAAACGTGGACCTATACATACAATTTTCCGCCATTATTACCCATTTGACTTATAAATACCAACTTTTAGACACCTGGTCTTGTGTTGATAGAAATATTGGGATGTGACGAGTTTAAAAATAATCGGACGTTCTTAACGCATTTAATGATGGTTTGGTTATATTGACACCTTCGTGTGAGAGGTACCCGAAGGAGGAGTCAGTTCTATTCGTCCTTTCTAACAGATCTTGTGTCAGCACAAATATTGGAATGTGTAAAATTTAAAGAGAACCGGATGCTTATTTCGCATTTTTTTTTCAGAATTATAATTATTCAAAAATTTGAACTCATGCGGGAGAGGTACCAGAAGTAGGTGACGGATATTGTCCATTTTCGCACCTGAAATAGCACAGATACAAATATTGTAAGTTGCAAAGTTTGCACCAAATTGGGTGATCCTTTCTTGTTCTATACGTAAAATTATTTTTTGGGAAAACATTAGCCTTTTGTGGGGGAGGTACCAGAAGGAGGGGACCGATATAGCCCATCTCCGAACATTATCTAAGTTTGATAATAATATTACTATGTACCAATTATGGCCTGAATCGAAAACTCGCTTTTAGAGCTAGCGTGCACATCTGCTAGATAGACAGATCGACCGCTAGATCGACTTCAAATGTCCTCAAATGTCAAATGTCTCGCCCGAAGAGACCTAGGGTATAAAAACCCTTTATTTTGATGTGGCACATTTTGGCAGTAGCCACATAGCTGAGGGTATAAAAATGGAACGTCTCATGCTTAAAATACTGAAATCTAGCAGTCACAGTTCGCAAACTTTAGGCATTTTTTGGACATTGGAAAGCAACAAAACTCGAGCAAGCGTTGATGAAAATCCATTTTTGTCCATTTCTCGAGGTTGTTTCGTATTTGATCTTTCATAAACGATAGCATATGGTAATTTAACGACGTATCTTTGCCCAAGTCCTTAAAATGCCAAAAAAAAAATTATCCGGAATTCCTTCAAAAAACCAGCTTGATTAATTTGACCCATTGTCACCTGTTAAACAAGCAAACTTGTGGCATCTTGGCATTATCATCCTCAACGTGTGTCTGTTTGATTCGGTTTATGCTAACTCTTAAGCTCGGAAAACATGACGATAAAGATCTAGTGAATATATAATATTGACCTCCAAATTATGGCAGTGTTTATTTAAACTTTGATTCAAATTTCCATATTCAGTGGGAACAGTACGTAATTTTTTTACTGATAAGCTATATCCAAATCTAGCCTTAGTCACAAACAGTAACTAGATTGGGCTACACTCTAGTTTAGTAAAAACTCTTCGAAAACCTGGGGCATCTGGTCAGGCCCCCAAGACATTTTTTCGAAAAAAATCAAAGAGTTTCTACTAAACTAGAGTTATTTCCTAGATTGTTCTGAAATCATTTTGACAAGAATGCCTCCGATCCCTTGTATAGGTAATTTATGTTCTGAAATTTTCATAGACCCATAGCTGGCCAAATAAACTTTAGCCCATGATTTTGAGCATTTCACTGGCAATTGTTGTTGCCTACGTCCATGATAAGAAAACTAACAGAAAATAAACAACAACAAAGTTAAAAACCTCAATATCAGCCGCAGCAATCGAAAATTCTTTTAAAATACATTCTGTGTTTTTGGTTTCCTTTGCAGCAATAAAAAGAAACAATAATACCCTGCGCCTGCATACATTTTTTTTTATTTTCTTTAAGATATTTATTGTTTTCTTTTTATATTTTTACTTTTTTGAAGAAAAAGAAAGATTCAATATCTCTCCAGCACTTCCCACTTACCCATTGTTGGTTGTGTAGTTGTTGTTGCGGCAACAAATCAACTAAAACACAGCAACAACAATATGATGATTATGAACGATGTTATTTTCGTTGTTGCTGCTGGTATGGTGGCAATTGTTCTGCTGCGAGTACTTGGTGACTGTTTCAAGTGTGTGTGTTTGTGTGTGTGCTAGCGTATGTAGACGACAACGTTCGCTTCCACTACCAACCGGAAGCTATTCTGCAAATATTTTCTGCTGCGCCACCAATTGTTGTGCTAAGTTGTTGTGTTGGGGACCAAGCGCACAGGGGACACGGCGAACGGTGACGACAACAACGTCGGCGGCGACGACGACGACGACAACAACAACTACGCGAGGATGATTACTAAAGAACACAACCGATAACTTTTTCTGTTATGGGTGAGTGACTGAATGAGTGGTGTTGAGAGTGTGTGTGAATGTGTATAGGAGGTTTCTGCTGCCACGGGCGAGTACTCTTTTGTTGGTGATGACCACCAGGAACAGTAATCCACTACTTATGTTTAAATATGATATTTGACACTGATTTCTTACTAGAAACACTTCCTTTCTCACTCCCACTTCTCTTTCTCTCTTGCTTCCTTTTAATTATGCTTAAGAACAAGCATTAACTATTAATTTTAATATACACTTCTTTAAAATCTCAGTCGTTGCTTCCTGGTAATTTGACATCCTCTCAATCACCGTTCGTTGTCGTCCGTCATTCAAGAATACACAACACCTGACGACGTTTAGAACTCTTCCTCTCTCGGACGCACGCACACACAGACTTTCTTTCTTTGTACAAAAATTAAATGCTCGGTATTAAATTTCTCTTGAAAAATTTCAACTTTTTGTATAACTTGCTTTTTTTATTCAAGCCAAACACTGAGATTAATTTATTATTCCCATGGAAAATATTCCTTCATCATCACAACACTTAATTGAGATTCACTTCACATTTTCACATTCTTTCCTTGTAATTCTTTTGGTACACAATTTTCCAATCAGCAAACTTAATCTTGGAGTTGGTTGGTTGCGGCGACGGCAGCGGTGAGAGTAGCGGAGACAGACAATGCAGCAATTATTCTTTTATTTAAATTCCACACAAAACACAACTATTTCGTACAGCTAAGTAATCAATCAATGCAATTCTTCTTCTTGTTAACACTTTGTTTATATTACTTAATTATGTTATTAATTATATGCGTTATTTTCATGTATTTTTTTGTTTATATTTTTGTTCTTATTCGTATCCGACTGTATGTGTTGTGTCAGTGTCGTCTCATTTTGTTGTGTCTAGGGATGTATAAGTCGACTTTCGTTTGATCGATAAATCGATTTTTTGTGTGAAAAGCCGTGGTAGGCTATTGCATGTGGTGAAAATAGTAATTTCGACGTTTTGTAATCGATTTTGAGATCATAGAAATTTGTTGACTTTTTATATATGTACAAAAGCCATGGTAGAAGAATGCACATATTTGCATCGACACAACTGCTGCGACAATTAACTGTCAAACGAATTCTGGAATTTCAAATTTTTAAATGAAAAATTATTAAAATTTGTAAAAAATATTAAAAATGCATATCATAACAACCATGGTACAATAAGGAGGTAGAACAGCTTCGTAAAACTACCGAAATACAGCCCTGAGGCTATACCCTGTCAGAATTATTTAAAATTATGGGCAACAAGTTGTTTTCATTTATTTGATCTTTTTGTCCATTTTTAAAATGAGGTAAATAGCTCGAAAGATGAATGAGATGTCTGGATGTTCTCTCACGAATACCCTAAGTGTTTAGTCTTTCAATTCCATGACAAATCTGGTTAATATTATTAATATGCGCCCCGCAATTTAAGTTTCTTCCAATCATTGGTTTTCAAAATATTTTTTTTTCCAAAACAACAAATGCAAACAAAAAATTGCCAGAAGTCTGGCACATTTAAAAAAAATGTTATCAGCTGGGAGCTCCACCTTACCTTTCTATTCTACCATGATAACAACCTCTAAATGGCGTCGTATGGGAAAAATATACAAATCTACTTATTTTTGAAGAAATATTTAAAATTTTTGTTCTTTAATAATTTTAATAACATTATGTTGCTTATTTAGTATTTAATTATATTAAACGGATTTATCAATATTGAACTCTCGCAGTGCTCATTTTCGGTCTATAGAATGTTTGGTATTGAAAATGGTCAATGTATGTATAGGTAGACCCCATATAACTACACCTTGCAATATTCTATATTTTTATGATTTCTGCCACACTTTTCACCGCAATTGTTTCAAATTTGGTATTTGGAGTTCGTAATGGGTCCAAATACCAAGGTATTCCCTATTTTGCCGATTTTGGACACATTTTTAAACACATTTATCTAACAATTGGTATTTTAAATTTACAATTGACATCGCCTTCTCCGTCAGAAAATTGGCCATACATCCGACAATCGATAACTTTAATAATTTCAGAGGCCACTCCAGAAATTTCTTCAAAATGGTGGAGGGAGTTTGAAGTTCAACTCTGCCATAAATTAGCTATTCTTTTACTTGATTTTTCTTCTTTTAAAATCAAAATTATATTTGTCGATACAAAAATTTTGCCTTATTTCCTTTTTCGGTTCATGTAGAACCTCAAACTGGTGGACAGGAAACATACCTCAGAAGAGGGAGAAACCAAAATTGACATTCGTTCTATACATGCCCTATACAAGGTCGGCCAGTAAGCTCATCTGACAACAAAGTTTGCTTTTTAAAGAGGTATTGTGATTTGAAATTCAAAGAGAGTAAAATCACAATAGTGCAAGTAGTACTAAATTTATTATCAAATTTTTGTCAAAAGTAGTATTTTTGTCCGACCATATGTAGGCCTTTGAACTATATTTCACTTTTCGTTCGTTCATAATTCTTATTTTTACTGAAAAATTTAAAATTTGTATACAGTCTCTCCGTTTTTCTTGTATTTCCGCTCTGTTAAGGGATAATTAGGTCGACATTTGACTATTGGATATTTTAAAGAAAAATAACGATAAATATTCATAAAATATATCGCTCTAATCTTTGTGGTGTTATAAATCGTCTTTTTTAAATAAAAGAAAACTAGAGAGATAGAAGTAAACTGCCTTGTTTATATGCTATTGATAAATCAATCGTTAAAAACTGCAGTTTTTATAAACATGTGCTTATTTCTGATACTTTAACAAATGGTACATCAAATATGAACCACTACATGTAAACGCAAGTTAATCAGTTGTCATCAGCGCAATTGTGAATGATGTAACGTGTATTAATATTGTGAATAGTCTCATAACTCATACAGAGTTGCATGTGATTCTTTTTTAACGTTAAGAAACTTACATTTAAAAGACATTTTAAAATAGTTATCAAATCAAGACTTTATAACTCGAGTTTTTATAATTCGTATGTTCCAAAACTGCAATAATTGAACTGTTCAGAACCAGCAAGAATCTACTAGTTTTGCAATTTTCTCTGATATCATAAAGAGAAAATCGGTTATGGTAGTAAAAACTTTTACATTCTTGCAGGCCAAATGTAAAAAATTGTTACTACGATAACCGATAGCAAAAATTTTAGATTTTTACAGGTTCTAGCACACGGCAAATTACAGCAATAATTTTTGGTAGAATTTCACAAATACTCTTCAAGAAATATCAGAATTTATTTTGTTTTTTTTTAACTTTTTGAAATGTCATTTTAAAGAAATATAAAATTTTCTTTATTGAAATTAACCGTGTAGTAACGAGATATCTCTGCGATTTTTGAAAGAATTTGAATTATTAGAAAAAGGTTTTTTTACACTTTTTTTTGAAAAATTTTAAGAATTTTTTAACAAATATTTAAAAAAAAGGAAAAATCATCCAGAGCTTTCAACAGATTTCTGTTTTTTTTTTTAATTTCTTTAGAATTTGTTTTTCGAATATATTCTGAGGGATTAAATGACCATATTTTATAAATAGGTGTGTTTGGTTACCTCAAAAATTGCAACAATTGTTTCCAATGGGTACTTAAAGTCGTCTGAGAAACTTTGACAGTTATTATTTTCTTTTTGCAATCACTTGCTTGCAGAAATTACAAGGCTTTTTGTTTTGTATCTTTCATTGCGGACAAATTGTTTTGACTTGACAAATCAGCTGATTGCTTGCAAGTACTTGCAGGGATTCTGTTTGTTCCGTTTGTTTATTTTTCAGTGTTTTCTTGCAAAAGAGAATAAATCTGACTTTCTCTCTTAGAAAGAAGCTGTTGGACAATTTCTGCTGGAAAAGTAACCAGACAAACCTAATGTTCTTATGAATTGGTTTCTCCCCGTTTCAAAATGAAAAGACGCCTCTCTTTAATTTTATTTTATAATATTTAATTTTTATTACAACTAACAATAAAAATAATTTTAAAAATAAAATAATATTAAAATTGTTTTTTTTTGCGTGTGGTTGTTTATAAATATATCAGACAGATAAGTTTTGGGTTTAAAAAAAAAAAATACAAAATTTAAAATAAAATTAATTTGATTCCTCTCTTGCCCAACTCATCTTCTCTTCTTGAAATTGTTCGGATTGATGCGATCGTATGCGGTGTCTTTCATGCTCGTTGTGGTCATGGCTCCCGTATAGGTCCTTTGACCCTGGGCACTTTGGGTACGTACTGTCGATATGGGATTGATGGTGATGATGTGTGGGGAATAGGTGGCACCATTTTGAGCTCGGGTACCATTCATGGTTGGGGTCATTTTGCCATTGGAGCTGTTCCATTGGGAATCATGGATTTCGGTGGAACCATAGGCACTGTCTTTGACTTGAGAGTCATAGAAATTGTTTTGATTTTTCTGTTGCTGGGATTGTTGTTGGGGATAGGTAGAATTTTGTTGGTGTTGTTGTTGCTGCTGCTTGTTTTGGTCATTGGAAGTGGCTGCCATGCCGGGCATTAGCAGCGGTGCCATGGTCTGCAGCGAATTGGCCAAACCCGAGAATGTCACCGATTTATTGTTGATGTTATTTTGTGGCTGCAATGGCTGTACCGGTTGCCATTGCTTTCCGCCGCCACCGCCTCCATCCAAGGCCGGTGTACTGGCAAAGAGGGCACTTTTCAGCGAATCCGATTTGGAACGTTGCAAAATACTTTTATTACCCCCCAGGGGTTTGCTGGTTCCCACACCAATTGAATTCTTGTTGGGCGGTGTGGGCGCAAAGTTGGTGGTGTAATTCTCATTGGCATCGCTTAGCTGATCATAGCTCTGGCTCAGATCTACCAGGCGATTTAAATCGGTATTGGTGGAATTGTAGATTTCCAAGCTGCTGGAAATCAAATCGGCCCTGGAGCCAAGAGTTACCAAACTGCCGGCCAAACTGTCATTATTCATCATGGTCGATAGGTTGCTAGCCATGGAAGAGGGGCTGTCGGATTTTTGTCGTTGATTGAACTGGGCTGTGCCCATTTCACTGGGTCCCACCTGAACGACGCCGGTGCGAGGATCAAAATGTTTTTGATTGGCATCCTTTAGGGTTGTCTTAATTTCCTTTGGTTGTTCCGTGGAAGAAGAACGCAGTGAGGAGATGTGGCCACGTACCGGTTCTCGGGAAACCGACGAAGAGGGAGATGATGCGGAATTGGTTTCATCCAGTTCCTCCTGAAAACAGAAACAGATTTTCATTAAATTCCCTATTTTCTTTATGTAACCCTCCCCCACTCACCTCATCCTCCTCGGTAATAACCGATGACTCTATCCACTCCTTGATCCTTATCTTCTTGATGTGCCTATCCACATTGGTCTCTATGCCACAATCGGCCAAATTAAAGAGCAAACGATTCTTCTCATCCGGACTGCTGTGAAAGGAATACATCGAGGGACACAACTCATCCGTTTCGTATTCGGCCATTTCCTTTTCTGCCGTCTTGGCCAACCAACGATCATCGAGGAATTTGGTCAAATCCGTTAGAGTTTTGGGTCTACGATCTGCCCGAGGTTCTAGGAAACGTTTAAACATCCGCTGCGCTCGTGATGTCAGCAATTTAAAAAGTTTCGGTGTTCTCCGCATGGCCAACATCATACTATTTTGCCATATTAGGTAACGCATGTACCGTGGATCATCGGAGGCGGCCTTTTGCCAGGGCAAACAGCCGGTGAGGCAGACGAATATTACAATGCCAAATTGCCAAACATCATGACTGGGATCGGCTCTGGTGGGGAGGAGAAATAGAAAAATATTGGATTAGAACTTCAGTTTACCAATGGATAGAAGGTCCGCCAAGTGGGTGATAGAAGATTTTCCACAGTTATTAGTGGAGGTCTTTTCAAAAGTCCATTGTGGATAATGGACTACCTACAGGTCTCATATAGATGGATGACCTTCCGCAGTTCTTCGAAGGTTTTAAAACCTTCCACAGGTCTTCCATAGATGGAGGATTTTCCGAAAGTTCCATTGTGGATAAATGACTTTCTACAGGTCTCATATGGATGGAAGACCTTTCACAGGTTTCCAGGGACAGAAGGCCTTCCACACTCCCCTTCGAGGGAGTAAACACCTTCCTACTAGTTCTCTATAGACAAAGAACCTTTATGGATAAATACCTTGCGTGGTGGTCATATGGATGGAAGACCTTTCACAGGTCTTTCACACTCCTTCGAGGTAGTGAAGATTTTCCACAGGTCTTCTATAGAAAGATTCCCAATGGATAAAAGACCTTGCATAGGTCTTGTGTGTATGAATGACTTTTCACAGTTCTTCTGGATTGTAGGTCTTCTAGGGATAGAAGACTTGCCACATGTTTTCCAAGGACGGATAAAAGATTTTCTACAGGTCTCATATAAATGGAAGACCTTTCATAAGTCTTCCAGGTATAGAATGTCTTCTACACTCTCCTTCGAGGGAGTTAAGACCTTCCACAGGTCCTCTTTAGACAAAGGACCTTTATGAATAAAACACCTTGCATAGGTCCACCAAAAGACCTTTATGAATTAAACACCTTGCATAGGTCTCATATGGATGGAAGACCTTTTACAGGTCTTCCACACTCCTTCGAGGTAGTGAAGACCTTCCACAGGTCCTCTATAGAAAGGTTCTCAATGGATAAAACACATTGCATAGGTCTTGTGTTTGAATGACTTTTAACATTTCTTCTGAAGACCTTCCATAGGTCTTCTGGGGATAGAAGATTTTCCACAGGTTTTCCAGGGATGGAAGAACCTTATTAGATCTTCTAAAAATGGAAATCCCTCTACAGGTCTCATATGGATGGAAAACTTCCCCAACTCTTCTAAGTACAGAAGACCTACCACATGTCATCCATAAATAGAAGACCTTCCACAGATTTCCTGGTGAAAGAAGACGTTCCAAAGGTATTTTATGAATAGAAGACCTTCCACAGGACTTCTAGTTATGATAAACCTTCCACAGATCTTCTATCGATAGACGACCTTCCTCAAATCTTTTATAGACAAAAGATCTTCTATATGGCACAGAAAACCTCCCAAATGTCATCTATAAATAGAAGACATTCCACAGATCTTCTGGGGACAGAAGACGTTCTAAAGATCTCATATGAATAGAAGACCTTCCACAAAATTTCTATGTATGAAATAACCTTCCACAGATCTTTTATAGGTAGAAGACCTTCATTAAATCTTCTTTAGACAAAATATCTTCCATAGGTCTCCTATGGATACAAGACCTTCCACAAGTCTTCCGTAGATATAATATCATTCACAGGTCTTCTAAGAAACTAAAATACCTTCCATAAGACTTCTATGGATAGAATACGTTCCCCAGGTCTACCAGGGACAAAAGAACTTTCACGGGTTTTCCATGCTAAACATAATCGCCACAGGACTTTCATGGAGGAAAAAATCTTTCACAGGTCTGTTATGACTAAAATATCCCCCCCCGTTTCTCACTCACTTATATGTTCCCTCCGGTTTAATATCTAATACTTCTGGTGGACTATAGGGCAGCCATTCGTTGCGTCTTTCCACAAGGGTGCCGGCCTGAAAGGATTCACCAAAATCGCACAGCTTAACACGTGTGAAATCGGAACGATATATCAGAACATTATCTAGTTTTACATCACGATGTACAATGTCTCTAAAAAAAACACAACAAAAATGAAAAGTTATAAATACAACAACAAACATGAGATACAAGATATACCTACTTTGAATGCATATAATCTAAGGCGGAACCAATTTGTTTGGCCACACGTTTGCTGTAAACCTCACCCACACCGGTATCGGTGACATTTGAGGTTAGGTCACCTGAGTAAAAAAAGAGAATACTCTATTAATCCAAAATAAAAATAAAATATAAATAATATAATGAAATATAAAAAATTAATATAAGTTAATAGATCTATAAAATTAATAAATAAATAAATACAAGTAAAAAAGCTGTAACTTTTAATACCCTCCACCATTTGGTACAAATTTGGCAATTTTCAAAAAAATTAAAATCCTTTCAAAATTCGATTTACATCTTAAAAATATCGAATGTAGCCGTATATTAGGGTCTATACGACGACGTGGACTTGTATACTCAACTTTTGTCATAAGCCTGTACAGACAATTTTCTGGCATAGGCTGTAGAATCCATTACGAACTTCAAATAAAAAAAAATTGAAATAATTCTGGTAAATAATGTCGTTAAAATCATCAAAATATAGAATATCGGGGGGAACCGTTATATGGGGACTATACGAAGACGTGGACCTACATGGACCATTTTCTGTCTTATGCTGTAGTATCCATTACGAACTTCGAATGACAAATTTGAAATAATTCTGGTAAATAATGTCGCTAAAATCATCAAAATACCGAATATCGGAGAGTACCGTTATAAATGGGGGCTTATACGAAGACGTGGACCTGCACAGACAATTTTCTGTCATAGACTGTAGTATTCATCACGAACTTCAAATAGTAAATTTGAAATAATTCCGGTAAATAATGTCGCTAAAATCATCAAAATACCGAATATAGGGGAGAATCGTTGTATGGGGGCTATATGAAAACGTGGACCTACAATTACCATTTTACCTGTCACAGGTCTTAGTATCCGTTATGAACTTCAAATATCAAATTTTAAACAATTCCGGTAAATAATGTCGCTAAAATCATCAAAATGCCGAATATCGGCAGGTACCGTAATATGGGGGCTATACGAAGACGTGGACCTACATGGCCCATTTTCAATACCAAATCGACATAGAATTTTATGCTGAATCGACTAAATCGACATAGAATTTTATGCTGATCAAGAATATATATACTTTATGGGGTCTAAAATGTATATTTCGAGGTGTTACAAACGGAATGACAAACTTAATATAACCTCCATACTATGGTGGAGGGTATAAAAAAAAACGTAATGCCAATCTCTTAAGGTGATAATACATAAAATGCTTCTTTGACTGGCTGGCTTCTTTGTTAATATAAAAAACACATTTATAGAAAAAATGACAAACAAAAATTTGAAAAATCCAAAAATTGGGTTTCAAAATTCTATTCCATAGACTTTTCAAATTAATTGCATATTGCCTAAGCGGTTTAAATCGCTTAACATTGCTAACTACGTTGTTACGATATCATAACAACAGAGGTATTTCTAAAGGGTTGCCATATCTTGACTCTGTCTTGTCCCATTTTTACACTTCTATGTCTTTGAATAAACGAGTTGTAGGTTGACTTAGTTCGATTTTGGCCCTACGCTTCTTTGTTATTTTCCGAAAAAGCCAGCCAATGATTTAAACCAGTCAAAAAATGAATTTTATGTGTTCTCACCTTTAATTTGCAAACTTACCCAACGGCGCATACTCCTGTGTAAACACATAAAATCCCGCCGTCTCGAATGCCACATCATAGGTCGTCACAATGTTCCGATGTATTCCCAAATGTAGGCCATAATGAAACTCGCGATAGAAATCATTCAACGAGACATAGGGTTTGGGTACAGCCTTTAGCACCATTTCTGTGTGCGATGCCCGATGTTCGACCAACAGGATTTTGCCAAACCATCCTTCGCCCACAATTTGTAAAATATCAAATTCATCGACCAAATGTATCTGTAAAGATAGAAGGGTTGACACATTGAATATCTGTTCAGAGTAGCAACATAAAATTCATAGAAGGTCTCCTTATTTTAGAAAATATTTTAAGAATTGCTGTATATTTTGTATATTTGATCCCGCATATAAAGAAGATTTATAAAAAGTTATCCAGCTATAGAAAACCTTCCAGAAAAAGATGCCATGTCGTAGGTTTTCCATATAAAAAATAGACGTGTCTGGATAATCTAAAATTTGTAACAATTGTTATTGGAAGTCATCTGTTAACACGAAAAAATTGGAAAAGAGAGTGATTTGAGAGAACAAATTTGACAGTTCATCCACTGAGAGTTTGTAAATTCATGCTGGACATATTTCTTCTAGCAATTACTTGCAACTCTTCTTCTTCTCCTTCCGGTGATTTATATTTGGACAAGCAATTGAAAAACATATTTTTCGGAGATGAGCAATATCGGTCCACTCCTTCTGGTACCTCCCCCAGAATGACAATGTCAATATTTTCAATGAAAATAATTTGCTGCACTGTAAAAGAAAGGATTTTGCTCGCAAATCCTAATATTTGCTAAGTCAGGTGCGAAAATGAATAATATCGGTCCACTCCATCAATTACCTCCCTTCCACAAAAGGTCAAGATTTTCATAGAAAATAATTATTGAATGTATTGAACATAAAATCGTCAAAATACCGAATATAGGGAGGTACTGGTATATGGGGCCTAGACGAAGACCTGGACTGCACAGATAATTTTCTGTCTGTAAGTTGTAGTATCCATTACGAACTTCAAATACAAAATTTGAAACAATTCCGGTGAAAAATGTCACTATAATCACCAAAATACCGAATATCGGGAGGTACCGTTATATGGAGGCTATACGAAGACGTGGATCTGCACAGACAATTTTCTGTCTTAGGCTGTAGTATCCCTTTGGAACTTCAAATACCGAATTTGAAACAATTCCGGTGAATATTGCCGCTAAAGTCATCAAAATACCGAATATCGGGAGGTACCGTTATATGGCGTCTATATCAAAACGTGGACCTACATTTACGAACTTAACCTACCTACTGGCAAAATATACATGTGTGCAAAATTTTAGCCTTCTATCTCAATTTGTTCGAAACATAGCGTGATTACAACAGACAGACAGACGAACATGGCTAAATCGTCTTAGAATTTTACGCTGATCAAGAATTGAGTCAGACATGAGTATTTCGAGGAGTTACAAACGGAATGACAAAATTAATATACCCTCCATAGTATGGTGGAGGGTATAAAAACTGCAACAAAGTCAAACGCCAAAATGTGTGCAATTTTTTTTTTTCAAATTTTATTGAATGAAAGCAAAAAACTTCGGAAATAGCATCAAATTTTGGAAAAAGTTTAAATTTGTTCGAATTGGTCACCTTTGACGGCCAATGAAACCGTCACACGCTGCCCGAATGTTGCTCTGCGGTATTTTGGCCCATTCCCGGGGAAGCGCTTGGTTGAGGTGATCGACACTTTGGTATTTTTTAGTGCCAACCTTGTTTTCCAAAATACTCCAGACACAATAGTCCAACGGATTGGTATCCGGAGATTTTGGTGATCATTGTGCGCTGGAATTGAAGAGAGTAACCTCATATTGTAACCATTCTTGTGTGGCTCGTACTGAGTGCAATGGTGCTAAGTCCTGTTGGAATGTCCAAGGTCTGCGGCCAAAATTTTTGCAAGCCCACGGCTCATTTTTCAATATTTGCCGAATGGAATATTGCAATATATTCAGCTCACAAGCCATTTTTCGGCCACTGGGTTTCGATCACGTCGCTTCTTTAATTTTCGAACCATTTTTGCTGATGTTGCTGTTTTCTTCCGTCCACTTCCTTGACGTCGGGCTACACTAACTGTATCACGGTATGAGACACAAAAGATTTATTCACATTTATATGCTGGACTGCTCTAACGATAACCTCTTGTGGTTTTCCTGGCAAATTTAAAGAAATCACACTATCACGTTTGAATTCCATCACGAAAAACTTTTTTTCTGGGAAATTCTCCCCAAAATGCTTTTGTACGCTTGTAAACAATATAATGAGCTGTCACTGGAATAAGTTTAACAGCTGTCGGACGAGTGGCTTGGAAATTACAGCAGTTTGAAGTTAGTTGCAGTTTTTTCATCTTTCACCTTGTATATTATATCCTTAGAATTCCAAACAAATCAAATTTCTTAATCTGCAAACCAATAGCAAAAAAAGCAACAACACAAAACAGCACGCGTATACACCTACATTCATATTGATTTAATCTCTATATAACAAAAAATATGTAGGTATATAAATATAAGAAATTCTTTCAGCATTAGAATTATAAATTTGCTTATAATAAAACCACCTGTTTTGTCATTTTCTCTCCCTCTCCCCCCTCTCTCTCTCTCCGATTGCGGTTTGTTGTTGGTGTAAATAACACAAAACAAAACAAAAATCATCGACAAATTGATAGAACGCACGCCGTTAGACTCGAGATGTGCCAATGAAATGAAACAAAAATCCGAAATGCTCAGAATTATATGGAAATCATAATGATTTCATATAAATTAGTAATTAATTCTGGCTAAATTGCAATTATGGAATATTTTATTTTAAAATTACCAAATAATAAGGCAAGAAAAATGCGTAACATCTTTCCCAGTAATGATTTTTCCTCAAATGCATAACAAAAAAAATTGGATATTGTCAATTTTCCATATGTTTGCACAGTCGGATTTTTTTTATTTTTTTGATTTTTCATGTTTGAACGCTAAGCATTTTGGCAAATGGCCAACAATTATAGGTACGTAATACTAAATAGACAAACATACAAACATTGGTGTTTGGGGATATATAACGGCAAATAAACATATAGATGGAATAGATCACCTAAACAGACATACGCCGCAAAACCGCATTACCTTTTTGTAGAGCGGTATTGTAAAGAATGTGAAAACTGTATTCGATAGAATGTATTTTATGAATGGACTTACAACATTTCTCAGTTTACCTACATTATAGGTATTTCAATATGCACAAGAATTACTTCAGTCAGACCATATGCCATTCTTATTATTCAATATTTACAATAGGTCTTTCGAAAGCCTCTCCCTTTATTAAATTCTGCTGAGAGAATTTATATACTCTCTGCCCAAAAGCCCACCCCACAAAAAATGGTAAAATGACAGTTAATACCTTTAATCCAAAATCAAAATAAAAATCAAAACTGTTTCCATTTTTTTTTTTGAAAAATTTATAGATATTAAGCATGCAGTTCAAAAAAAAAAAAACATTTAATTATAGATGATTTGCAACCACAAAGTCCTTGTAAAAATCCAAAATATTTGGTCATGTAATTTTTGACCAAGTTTTTTTTTTAAAGTCGTTAAAATTTATTCCTGAAATCCACGATACACGTCAAAAGGTCCTTACAAATAGTCCGTGCTTAAACAGTCTAAAATTTTTGTCAGGAGGTCCTTAAAAAATTTATTTGCCAGGAAATCTTTGAAAAAATTCTTAGGCCTTAATGTTTAAAAAATGTTTTTCAATATTTACGAGAAGTTGCGAAAAGTCCTATAAAACGCATAATGTATGGTCAGGAAATTTTGTTTTCCTTTAAGTCTCTGCGATTTGTTTGAAAAGGCCTTATCATTAAAAAAATCTATAATTTTTGGTTACATTTTATTTTTTGTCAGTTTTTTTTTTTTGTGGAGGTCTTTGGAAAATAATCTTAAAAATCCAAAGGCTTGGTCTTTAAATTCTACAATTTGTTATTCGCAGGGTCAGATTTTTTTTTTCTTGAAAAATCATTGATTTTTATTCAAGGGGCTCTTGAGCAAATATTCAGAACTCCCCCAGAATATAGTTTCAGGAGTTCCTCAAAAAAGGTTTTTCCAAAACCACGATTTTTGGCCAAGAAAAATATTTTTTAAAAAATTCTTTATTGTTTAATATAGTCTCAGAAGAAAATTTTTAAATTTTTGGTTGAGAAGTCCTCGAAAAAATGTATTAAAAATCAATGATGGATATATCCGCTATTATTTGTCGGAGTGCCTTAGACTTTTTTTAGCCTCGGATTTTTGGAAAGGGATTCCTCAAAATCTTATTATTCAAATTGCAGGATTTTTCACAAATCCACTATTTTTGGTCATTTTTGATGAAGAACCATTTTAGGGGTAGGAGTCCTAGAAAAAAAATCATAAAAATATAAATTTATATATAAATTTAGCTAGGAAGTCCTTGAGAAAAATTGTTGAAAAATTCCATGATTATGGAACATTACACCCTGGAAAATGTATTTTTTTTAATTACACTTTTTTTGGTTAGGAATTCCTTGATCAATTTATCTTAAAATCCATGATTTTTTAAATCAGCTACTACAAAAAAATCTTAAAAATTCTACATTTTTAGACAGGACTTTCTGGAAATCTTGTTATACAAAGTTCCAGGGTTTTTTTCAATAAAATCCCACATTTTTTGGTCAAAAGCACAATGATTTGAATTCAGGGGGGCCTGAAGAATTTTTTCTTACTAAATCAACTATTTTAGTCAGGATGTGAAAAGTATAAAAAATATCCGATTTTGAACAAGAGTTTCTTGAAATCAGTGTTTTAAAACTCCACTGATTTTCTTCAAAAATCCACGGTTTTGCCCAGATAAGTGATTTTCTTCTTCGAATATCCCCAATGTTTTGGACAGGTCACCTGATTTTTGGTCATTAAATTTTTTTAATACGGCGTTTTTTACGAAAGATCATTTGTTTTGTTTTGAAAAAAAAATCCCAACAATTCCAATTTCTTTCTAAGAAGGTCTTTTATAGTAAAGCCAGACGCTGAAAATACACTTTAGTCATTAAAACAAAAATCCATCACTACAAAAAACAAAAAACGTTGCTGTGAAAAAAGATCTGCCAATAGAACTTGAGTCGAACCTGGAGAGTTTCTAGTGTATAATTCGCATATGCTAATTTGCAATAAGTTCGAAATATATACTACTTTCCAGAGAACGGCCCTTGTAAGCCATCATCCACCTCAAATATGCCTGATGAGCCGCTTAACCAACGGCGAAACGCGTCGCATAGTGGTGAGTGTGTGATAGTGTCTATCTGGCTTTCCTTTTCACTGCAAATTTCAGATCATTAAGCTCGTCTCGAAAGAGAAAACAAACGCTTAAAACATTATAGTTTTAAGCATTTATTTCATCACTTCAAATTTGTAAATTTTCGTGTTAAAAAAACAAAGACCTAATAAATCTGAATTGATTTTAGTATTTTTTTTTTCTAAAAATCTACGGTTTTTGGTCAGGAAGTCTTTGAAAAATGCTTCTAAAAATCTGGGAGGTTACTAAAAAGAAAAAAAAAAATATTTTTGTGAAAATACCTATAAATACCAAAACCAACCAATCATAATAATATTTTGATTTTTGTCCCTAAAATCTTTTTTAATTCGCCGTATTGTTTAGAAAGTCCATGAAAATTTTTTCCATAAACTTCAATATTTTGGTCAGGAGGTCCTTAACATTTTTGTTTCTAAAAATCTAACGATTTTTGGTCATGAGGTCTTTAAAAAGTTGCTTCTGAAAATCAGGCAGTTTACTAAATAGTTATTCTTTAAAAACACTATTTGTGTGAGAATACCTATAAAAATAGTTTGAAAACTCCTCTATTATTTAGACACGATTTCCACAAAATCATGATTCTTCTTGAATTGTTTTGTATTATTATTTATTTATTATTATTTTTTTAAATCTACAATTATTACTCAAGAGGAGCGCGATTTCTGATAACGATATCTTTGAAATTTTTTTCTTGTTCAAATTTTATTTTACCTGATTTTTGGTCAGTTTTTTTAAGGAAGTTCTTGAAAAAAAAAAAATAAAAAAAATCTAATTTTTTGTTAGAAGGTCCTTTGTTTTGATTTTTGATAAGGAGCTCCTTCAGATTTTTTTAAGAATCTAACGGTTTTTGGAGGTCTTTAAACATCAAGGAGGTTACTAAAAATTAATTCTTTAAAAACACTATTTTTTTAGAATCGATTATATAGACAAGATTTCCATGAGATCATGTTACTTATAGAAAATCTTTGGTGTTTTTTTAAAAATCCACAATTGTTACACAGGAGGAGCCAGATATGTGGTCAGGATGTCCTTGAAAATTTTTATTCAACTATTCCAATTTTTTTGGTCAGAATGTCCTTTTTTCAAAAAATTACTCGATTTCTGTCTAGAGTTTCATAACTTTTTTTTTTTGAATCAATGACATTTTTTTCCTTTAAAAATGCATAGTTCCTTGAAATATTTAATACAATCCAAGATGTTTGTGGCCAAAAATAAATTAATAAATACTATTTGTAGTGGAGTAGACGGATACACTCAATTTTCACTTCATCTAATATCGAAAAAATATTTGAATGCGAGATATGAGAACGATTATTCAAAATATTTAACGTTTGTAGAAGAAGCACCAGATAGAGTGTCCCGGTATCAAATCAATCAAATTTTTTGCTAAGGACAATTTTTTGGTAATTTTTTGCTAAGGAAAAATGTTTGGGTCAAGAGTTTTAGAAAAAAAAATTCTGAAAATATATAATTTTTAAAAAGGTCTTACATATAATAGACTTCTAAAAATGTATTATGTCTACAGAATAAAAAATCATTTCCATTCCTATAAAAAAGACCCGGAGTGGCATTTTCCTCTATAGAAACAAAATTTAGATTTGTTTAGAGATCCTTTTTAAATATTCTATAAAAAATTGTTATGTATTCTTCAATTTATACAATACCTTCCTCCCACATACATACACAGATGCATTTGTTATTGTTTTTAATGATCATTTATGTCAATCACATCAATTCACACTTCAAACAACTGCAAATTATTTGGGTTGGAGGCCTGTATATTAGGGTGAATTGTAAAATAAATGTATAACTATCAATATTAACTTCTTGTCAGATAACTTCCACAAATTTTAATAAACTAACCCGAAAAGTAACTAAAACCGCGTCGAATCGGTACTTATATGCTCCCAGGAGTCCCATGCACTAGTTCTCTATAACTCTATAATTTTTAAAAATTGGGCGAATTATTTCCAGATGTTGTTCGAAAATATTGTCTTGTTCACAATTTCTTTTTAGATTTCGTAGAACTCCTCGGTTTTTTATACCCTCAGCTATATGGCTAGAGAGAGTAGATATCATTTGATCCGGGCAGGTGCGAAAATGGAATCAAGTACCTTCCCCACAAAAAGTCAAAATTTTGAATAAAAAAATGAGCTCGGGGTGGAGCTATTAAAATTCCAAAAAATGCAAGAACTTACATCGCAACAGAAAGAAAATAGACTCAAAAGAGCTAAAGAGTTGCTTCGCTTGGCCGAAAGTGGTGAACTGCCGAATTTGGTTTTTTCCGTTGAGAAAACATTCGTTGTCCAGCAGTTTGTAAACAAACAAAATGATGGTGTTTACTTGCCAATAAGGTCAGCTGAAAATGTGCACCTTTGGTTGGCCACCTGAACTCAAGCGCTGGCCATGGTGATGGCGTGGGCCGCCATAACAGCCGATTATCACTCTCCGCTCGTATTAAACGACAGTGGTATCAGAATAAATGCCGAATATTATCGCGAAAATATTCTGGAGGGTGTATTAAAGCCTTGGGCACGCAAACATTTTAGCCGCAGACCTTGGACATTTCAGCAGGACACAGTACCATCGCACTCAGCACGCGCCACCCAAGAATGCTTACAATATGAGGTTTCTCGCTTCATTTCCAGCGCACAATGGCCATCAAAATCTTCGGATACCAATCCGTTTGACTATTGTGTCTGGAGTATTTTGGAAAGCAAGGTCGGCACTAAAAAATACCAAAGTGTCCATCACCTCAAGCAAGCGCTTCGCCGAGAATGGGCCAAAATACCGCAGAGCGACATTAGGGCAGCGTGTGACGGTTTCATTGGCCGTTTGAGGGCCATAATTCGTGCCAAAAGTAACCAATTCGAAATAATCTAAACTTATTCTAAAATTTGATGCTATTTCCGACATTTTTTTGATTTCATTCAATAAAATTAAAAAAAAAAAAAAATGAAAAATTATGGCGTTTGACTTTGTTGCAGTTTTTATACCCTCCACCATGGTATGGAGGGTATATTAAGTTTGTCATTCCGTTTGTAACACCTTAAAATATACATTTTAGACCCCATAAAATATATATGTCCGTCCGTCTGTCCGTCTGTGGAAATCACTCTAGCTTCCGAACGAAATGAAGTAGGTTTATAAAATTTTATCCAAATGTGTATTATATCTGCAGGACTTTTGGTATTGAAAATGGGCCATGTAGGTCCACATCTTCGTATAGCCCCCATAAAACGGTACCTCCCAATATGCGGTATTTTGATGATTTTAGAGACATTATTTACCGGAATTGTTTTAAAATTGGTATTTAAAGTTCGTAATGGATATTACAGCCTATGATAGAAAATGGGAAATGTAGGTTCACATCTTCGTATAGCCCCCTTATAAAGGTACCTCCCAATATGCGGTATTTTCATGATTTTAGCGACATTATTTACCGGAATTGTTTTAAAATTGGTATTTAAAGTTCGTAATGGATATTACAGCCTATGACAGAAAATGGGAAATTTAGGTCCACTTCTTCGTATAGCCCCCATGTAACGGTACTCCCCGATATTCGGCATTTTGATTACTTTAGCGACATTATTTACCGGAATTGTTTCAAATTTGGTATTTGAAGTTCGTAATGGATATTCCAGCCTATGACAGAAAATTGTCGGAACAGGTTCACGTCTTCGTATAGCCCCGATATAGCGGTACTCCCTTTAGCGACATTATTTCAAATTTTGTATTTGAAGTTAGTAATGGATACTACAGCCTATGCCAGAAAATTGTTTGTGCAGGTCCACGTTTTAAAACCCCCATGGTACTTCCCTATATTCGGTATTTTGATGATTTTAGCTACATTATAAACATTTTTTTCATGTTTCGCATTTGAATATTGTTACAGCTTACAGCTTTTTTACTTGTTTTTATCTCACCCTGTATATACTTTATGGGGTCGGTATGACAAAGTTAATATACCCTCATAATCAAGGTGAAGGGTATCATGACTTTCAAAATGCGGAAAAATCTCATATTAATGCTACGGAATAAATTAATGTTTTAGAGTTGCAAAAAAAAAAAATAAAAAAATAGTAATTTTAATTTATTTCCCTATTCCAGCACTTACCTTTTCCAATTCAAACTGTCGAATTTTATGGATGCTCCCTCGTGGTTTCTTCGACATTTTTCTATTACTTTTTGTTTTGAAATAAATATCACCTTCCTTTTTTTCTTGTTTTTTTTTCACGTCACATTGGTCTTGGACTTTGGATAAAGTTGAATGAATTTTAAATTGATGTTTGTGGAATCACTAATTGTTTAAATATTTTATTTAAATTTTATTCGGCAATTGTTTTGTTTTATTTATTTATATTTTTTTTTGCTTCAGTATTTCAAGGTGTTAAAATTATTTAGCTGTTTAGAGAATTTCTTTTTTTGGCCTCAGCCATCCATCCATCCATAATGGCACTTCGAGCAATTGTTTTATTTTATTTAGCTATTTGTTATACAATAAATAGAAATAAATATTTACAAAAAAAAAAAAATCAAAATAACAATTGTTGGGGTATTTTTGCACGTTTTTTGTTCGCCTTCGATTATTGTTGATATTTGGGTTAAATGTTGTAGTTTGTTTTTTTTTTGGTTTTGGTTCTCGCATACAAATCTATTTGAATGAACAATTCATAAATAAACAAAAATATAAATATATATGAATTTTGAAATCAAACGCATGGTCCCGTACCGGGCCATACATCTTTCATTTCATTTTGTTTGCCATGGCGCGTGTCTTTCTTTCGAATTTGATTGAAGAAATTATTCGTTACAACCATCAAAGTTGGGGAGATTATTTTTAGCCATTTTTCTGGTTACAGTCAGCGTTATCGACCGGCTGTTGCCTGCCATTGGTGCCGATACAAATACACAGACGATGATGATGATGGCGATGAAAAAGAAAATGACAAAGAGTGGAAACAACAAAAAAGAAAATAGAATTTATGTATTTTTTTCTGGGAGGTTTTCTATTAGAATAGTTTTGTTTATAATATTCCGATTTTAGGTGCATTTTATGATACCCCTCATCAATCGCAAGCAATAGGGTCTGAATGAAAATGTGAATATTTAGGACATTGATTATGTTGACTTAGTCAACAATTATACCTCAGGTAGTCCTATTGAAAAATATTAAAAAAAAAGTAAAAAAAAAACAGCTTTAATGCCCTCCACCATTTGGAAGGAACTTGAAAAATGTCAAGTCCGAAAATTCCAAAAAAACCGTTTAAATGATGAGCTTTATACGAAGCACGAACCTGCATAAGTAATGTTTTGTCATAGGCTGTTGTACCCATAAAGATCTCCAAATACGAAATTGGAAACAATGCCGGCGCATAATGTCGCGAAAATAATCAAAATACCAAATAAAGGGAATTACAGTTATATGAGGGGCCGACATGTCCCATTTACGAACTTAACCTGCATACTGGGAAAATACACATGTGTGTAAAATTTTCGCCTTCTATCTTAATTTGTTCGAAAGATGGCGTGATTACAACAGACAGACAGACGGACATCGATAAATCGACTTAGTATTTTACGCTGATTAAGAATATATATACTTTATTGGGTCTGACATGAGTATTTCGAGGAGGAGGAATAACCCTCTAACGGTTAACATACCCTCCTCGATAAAAAAAAAAAAACAATTTAAAAAGCTTTAAGTTCGGCCGGGCCGATCTTTGAATACCCTCCACCATTTGGAACGAATTTGGAAGTTTTCAAAAAATAAAATCCGTAAAAAATTCTGTTAAAATGTTAAAAATACCGAATATTGCCGTTATATTGGGTTCTCTACGACGTAAACCTACATAGGATTTGCTTGTCATAAGCCATTACCATATTCAAATTCAAAACTTGAAATAAACGGTGAATAATGTAGCTAAAAGCATCAAAATATCGTATATAGGGAGGTACCGTTATATCGGAGCTATACGAAGACCTGGACCTGCATAGACAATTTTCTGTCACAGGTTGTAGCATCCATTACGAACTTCAAATACCAAATTTGAAACAATTCCGGTGAATAGTCTTGCTAAAATCATCTAAATACCGAATATCGGGAGGTACCGTTATGTGGGGGCTATTTGAAGACGTGGACCTGCACAGACAATTTGCTGTCATTAGCTGTAGTATCCAGTACGATCTTCAAATACCAAATTTGACAGAATTCCGGTGAATAATGTCGCTAAAATCATCAAAATACCGAATATCGGGGAGTATTGTTGTATGGGGGCTATACTAAGACGTGGACTTGCAGGGACAATTTTCTGTCATAGGCTGTAGTATCCATTACAAACTTCAAATACCTAATTTGAAACAATGCCGATGAATATTGTTGCTAAAATTTTCAAAATACCGAATATCGGGGGCTACGTTATATGGGGGCTATGCGAAGACGTGGACGTGCATAGACAATTTTCAGTCATAGGCTGTAGTATCCACCACGAACAAAATTCCGTTCAAATTTGAAACAATTCTGGTAAATAATGTCGCTAAAACCATCAAAATACCGAGTATCGGTGAGTATTGTTATATGGGGGCTATACTAAGACGTGAACCTGCACAGACAATTTTCAGTCATAGGCTGTAGCATCCAGTTCCATCTTCAAATACCAAATTTGAAATAGTTCCGGTAAATAATGTCGCTAAAACCATCAAAATACCGAATATCGGGAGCTACCGTTATATGAGGCTATGCTTAGACGTGGACCTGCACAGACAATTTTCTGCCATAGGCTGTAGCATCCATTACGAACTTCAAATATCAAATTTGAAACAATTCCGGTGAATAATGTTGCTAAAATGATCAAAATACCGAATATCGGGAGGTACCGTTATATGGGTTCTATGCGAAGACGTGGACCTGCACAGACAATTTTCTGTCATAGGCTGTAGTATCTATTACGAACTTCAAATATCAAATTTGAAATAGTTCCGGTAAATAATGTCGCTAAAGTCATTAAAATGCCGAGTATCGAGGAGTACTGTTATATGGGGGCTATACTAAGACGTGGACCTGCATAGACAATTTTCTGTCTTAGGCTATAGTATCCATTACGAACTTCAAATACCAAATTTGAAATAGTTCCGGTAAATAATGTCGCTAAAATCATTAAAATACCGAGAATCGAGGAGCACTGTTTACGGGGGCTATACTAAGACGTGAACCTGCACAGACAATTTTCTGTCATAGGCTGTAGCATCCAGTACGATTTTCAAATACCAAATTTGAAATAGTTCCGGTAAATAATGTCGCTAAAATCATCAAAATACCGAATATCGGGGAGCAATGTTATATGGGGGCTATACTAAGACGTGAACCTGCACAGACAATTTTCAGTCATAGGCTGTAGTATCCAGTACCATCTTCAAATACCAAATTTGAAATAGTTCCGGTGAATAATGTCGCTAAAATCATCGAAATGCCGAATATCGGGGAGTACTGTTATATGGGGGCTATACTAAGACGTGGACCTGCACAGACAATTTTCTGTCATAGGCTGTAGTATCCATTACGAACTTCAAATATCAAATTTGAAATAGTTCCGGTAAATAATGTCGCTAAAACCATCAAAATACCGAATATCGGGAGGTACCGTTTTATGGGGGCTATACTAAGACGTGAACCCGCACAGACAATTTTCTGTCATTAGCTGTAGTATCCAGTACGATTTTCAAATATCAAATTTGAAATAGTTCCGGTAAATAATGTCGCTAAAGTCATTAAAATACCGAGAATCGAGGAGCACTGTTTATGGGGGCTATACTAAGACGTGGACCTGCACAGACAATTTTCTGTCATCAGCTGTAATATATATTACGAACTTCAAATGCCAAAATTGAAACAATTCCGGTGAATATTGCTGCTAAAATCATCAAAATACCGAATAGTTCCGGTGAATATTGTTGCTAAAATCATCAAAATAACGAATATCGGGAGATACCGTTATATGGGGGCTATACCACAAGGTGGACCTAAATGGTCCATTTTGCAATACCAAAAGTCCTGCAGACATAATATACATTTCAGTAAAATTTTATCAATCTACTTCAATTCGACATAGAATTTTATGCTGATCAAGAATATATCTACTTTGTGGAGTTTAAAATGTATATTTCGAGGTGGTAATACCCTCCACCATACTATGGTATGGTGATAATTTTAGAAAAAAAGTGACTTTACATATGACTCAAACATCATGTATAATCTAGCCTTTAGTTTTGATTTGAAAAGAGTATTGTATTTTTTTATTTTTTATGTGACTCAACACAAAATTACTTTGCTAGTCCATTAAACATTTTAATATACATGTATTAAATTGTTATATATATATACATATAGTTGTATGTATATACATATAGATTGCATTATTGAAATGGCCTAAAAATTCAAAAAGTAAACATTTCAAAAAGAAATGGTGAATTGGTCAAAACAGTGAATAAACCCAAAATAGTTTGTTTGGGTGGCAGAGAAATGGTGTGGCGTTTTTTTTCTCACTAAATACGAAATATAGCCAAAAATATCCACACACTCTCATTCATAGTGAGCCAGCCAGCCAGCCAGCCCATCGGCATATTAACAAATATGCAGACAGAAGAAAAAAAATTATATTTTTTATTTTTTTATAAATGTGACTGACAAAGACAAAAGTTTTTGGGGTTTGTTTTATTGTTCTGAAAAAAAAAGAAACGTTTCAAAGAATTTTTGATGACGTTTCAATGAATATCGTTGTTGTTGTTATTTTTGATTTTAACGATTGCGAAATGCCCGAAAGCCCCCAGACAGATGTTAAAATGAAATAAATAAAAATTAATAAGATCTAATGGTACGGCATAAATTTTAGATTGATAATTTGGTCAGGCTACGACCTACTCCTCCTACTCCTAGTAGGAGTGGGATATTGGGAGCAATTTTCGTAAAGATAAGTTACACTGTGCAATACAAAAAATAATTACAGGGAAATTCCAGCAGATAATGAAAGTAGAGATAACAAGTAAAAAAGCCGGGCTGAACTTTTAATATCCTCCACCATTTTGAAGAATCTTGAACAATTAAAAAGTAATCCATAGAAAAATACCTCTCAAATGATAACTCTTATAGGGGGGCTATACGAAAACGTATTCCTTCATTTTGTGTCATAGCTTGTAGTACCCATTACGAACTTGAACTACGAAATTTGAACCATTTCCGGTTAATAATGTCGATAAAATCATCAAAATACCGAATATCGGAAGGTACAGTTATATGGGCGCTATATGAAAACGTGGACCTACATGGCCAATTTACAAACTTATTCTTATTTTGTCTCCTGGCAAAATACACATCTGTGCAAAGTTTTACGCTTCTATCTCAATTCGTTCGAAAGATAGCGTGCTGTAATCAGGCAGATAGACAGACGGACATTTTACGCTGATCAAGAATATATATATACTTGGTTGGGT